CCTGCATGTCCATCCAACAAGAAAGACTGGTGTGGCAAGTTTCTGTGATGGTGCTCATGTAGCAGAGATGTCGTGAAAGTCCAGTTTTGCAGTCACCCCCGATCCCGAGGGCTGCAGATAGCATGTGTTACAGGCAAAGTGTGTCACAAGGCAGAAGGACTGTATTTCCCATTGCTTGCCTAGATGAAAGTTTGGTGAAATTGGACTTAGGTCCTTAGAGTGAATCTGGGGTTAATTGGTCTAGAAACCTAAAGGTGTTGCTCTATGTTTCTTCCCAGGCAAAGCCAAAGCCCACGATAATGACTGCCAGTTTGGGAGAACAATAGGCCAAAGCGGAGACCCAACATCTTGGCTGAGAGAGTTCAAATTAAGAAAGGAGAAAGATGCTTAATGCCGTAGATGCTGGGTAGCAAAAAATAAAAAGAAAGAAAAAGTCTGCATTTCAGAGAGCAGTAGGAGGGACGTTCAATATTGCCTGAAAAGCCAAATGGAGAGTCCAGCATTTGATGAGGAATGCTCTCGTTTGGATATGATTTGAAGGGCTGGGGATTTAGCTCAGTGGTTCTGCCGCCTGCCTCGTAAGCACAAGGTCCCAAGTTCGTTCCCTGGTACCAAAAAAAAAAAATGTCCTACCGGATATGATTTAATTGTGTCCCAGAGGCTCATGAACTACTTGCTTGGTCCCCGTTGTGATGATTTTGGGGTCATGGAGCCTCTAAGAGGTGATGTGTAATGGGAGGTGAGTAGATCATAAGGTGTGGCCCTGGGAATGGATTAATGCTGGTCTCCTGGAGTGAGTGAGTTATCTTGATAGCTAATTGTTATAAAGTGAGGCCAACCCACGTGCATGGCCCTTTCTGCACTAAAACATTTCCTTTTCTGCTTCTTTACTGTGTTGTATGCATCAGGGGTCTCTCACCAGGATGCTGATGCCATGCTCTTTGGACTTTCTTTATGAAGTATCCAGTCTCAGATGTTTTGTTATAGAACAGAAAAAAAAAGGATCACTAGAAAGAGGGCAAGTTTAGAAAAGTGAAGTGAAAATTCCCCTGGACCCCGATTAGGTTGCTCTGAGGAAGGGGCTGGTATCTATTCATTTGTTGCTTGAGGAAAAACACCCCTTCCCCTCCCTGACAGAAATTCTGGCCATAGAAGAGTGTCCTGGGAGAGATCAAAGCCTATGGAGAGAAGATGTGCACATGTGCCCCTATTCCAAGAAGTGGCTTTCATGTCCTCAGGGAGATGCAAGCAAGAGGTTGGAGAGATACCTTCTCTGGAGGACTCCAGAGAGTGTGTGCTCCAGCCACGCCTTGAAGGGGGCTTGGGGTGAGAAGGAGCCCCCCAGACTGTGCAAGGCTGCCTTTGCTCGAGGCCCCATGCTTAGACATCTAAGTCACCGAGATCACTTTCCTGTTGCCTGACTGGCTTTTCTGCAAGTATCTAAGCAAAAGGTTAAGTGAGGGAAAGGACACTGCCAGATTCCTGGAAGAATTCTAGGTTCCCAGGGGCTACCTAGAAATCATGCTCCTATCAGCAAACCTGCCTTTTCCATTCCAGAGGCAGGAACCGTTAGATAAGGACTTGCTTATTACACAGCATTAACACTTAGCTGCAAGGCAGTGTCCTGGGAGATCACAGTGTAAGTTGTTTTTTCCTGCAGAAATGATATGTTGTATGAAGGTTTGAAAAGCCTCATGGTAGTCGTGACATAGATGACCAGGAGTTGTCTCCCATGTGCTTAAACTGGGAAGCTGCCTCTGTCCGTGACGTTCCCAGCTTATCTGCGATGGTCAGGAAGTGATATGAGGAAAGGGAGGACTCCTCCCAGCACAGGGCTGAGGCATTCCACTATGCCTGACAAATGCAGATTCAGCTAGCTTTGTGTCCCCCCACAGAATGCTCAGGCATAAAAGAAGCACAGATAGGCTGGCATTATGATCTGTTTTGGGGTCTCCTGAAGAGAAAGATAGAGATGTAGAAATGACACGCTTAAACAGAGGAATTTTCCCCAGCTTGCTAGATTCAGCTCTATTCTTTGGCTGACTTTTTCTTCAATAAATGAGCTTGGCTTTTAGAATGCAGGTCACTTTTCACAGGGAAATGGACTATGTGATCCCAGGGGCACAGCAGCTCCCTCAAAGGATGGAGAAGAGGGTAGGCTGGATTTGCAGCAAGCATGGAATTGCAGGCTGATGCTGTAGCTTCAGAGAGGACAGAAAGCTTTCATGCCCTTAAGAGCTTAATACCCAGCATGGTTTACATAGGGAAAAGAGCACAACCCAGTCCCCACTCATTTCAAGTATGCTCACACTTATGGTTTCCACCAGCAAATGAAGGTGTCAGGTCAATTTCTTGAGTTGCCTTAGGTACAGCATCTGAACCATGCCAATATTGCAGACTTCTTTTTGCCAATTCATGCTGGCCCTATTAGTAGAAGTGGCCTGAACACTCTCATACCCAATAGGGCTAGTCTCAGGGTATGTGATCTATGCACTGGCATGGGGCTCCATATTCAGATGGACCTTGTGTTTGGTTTAATGCTCTGCTGTTTTGTCTTGAAATTCTTAATAATTTTTGAACAAAGAGTTCATCTTTTTTTTTTGTATTGAACCCTGCAAATTGTCCATGGCCCTGTATGCCAGACACACTCCTTCCTACTCTTTTACTTGGAAAATACCTCATCCTCCAGTGTTAGCTTCAACATCCCTTCCACAGAGACCCCATCATAAACTGGTAATGATAATAATAACATGGCCAATATCAATTGAATCTTTACTATACGTCATGCACTGGGCTAGGAGGTTTGTATGCATTTTCTTGTTTTATCCTCTCACAAACACCATGGGGTAGGTATTATCCTTCCCATTTTGAAGATGAGAAAACCAACAGCAGCTAGGAGAAGCTCAGTGTCCAGGCTCACTAAGCCTGCTGTAGGGCTTCACCTGCATCATGGGTCACTGTAAAGATCTGAAGTCTATCTTCTTCCCTAGACAGCAAGTGCCAAGGGGTCAAGTCTTGTTTCTTCTCTGCTGTACCTGTGGCACACAGTGCTAGGCTAGGTAATCCTGTGTGTCTAAATTTGCAAAGACAGCCCTGACATGGGTCAACACAAGAAGAGAACATTGAAAGAATGCTTGGAACAACCACAAAAATTGAAAACACCTCGGGCTTGTTTTAGACCTTTGTCTGTGTGCTGGGTTCCACTGGGTTAGATGTCAGGGGCACGTGGATGAGGGGAGGATATTGGCCTCCGCAGCATGTGGAGGAACAGATATCTCCAGCTCCTCTGCTCACAGTGTGTGAGCACTGTGGAGAAGAGGGGCACAACCAGAGAGTCAACCCTTGGGGATGTGGCTTGGTTGGGGAAGCCAGAAAAGGCTTCAACAAGGACTGAAGACCAATGGGACTGAAGGACAGAAGGGAGGTGGGGATCCCCCACGCAGGGAACACTCTAGGCACAGACTCTGGAAAGGCGTGAGCATAGCCTCTTTTGAGGGCTGAAAGGAGGTCAGGTTGGGAGATGTGGCCAGCTGGCAAGATCACAGGGAGGGCAAGGCATTTTGTCTTCATCTTTGTTTTTCTTTCAATGCCAGGGTCAAAACCCAAGGCCTCACTTGTGCTAGCAAGTTCTCTATAACTGAGCTGCAGCCCCAAACCTATCTTTATCTTCATAGCAATAGAATCTTAAGCATGGGGTGACATGACTCATGTTTTTAGAGGTTTCTCTGGTGGCAGAACACATCAATGGGGAGCAGCTGAGCAGGTGCCAGGTGGGCCATGCAAATGGAAGAATGTATGCTTCCTAGTGCTTATTTGGGGGGCACTCTGCATGTTGAAAGAAAATTCCTTTGGCAATCAAAGGAGCTCATCTGTCGTGAGAAGGAGGACCATTGGGGTGCCTCAGGATGATGTCACACTTGGGAGAGGACAAGGCTGGCTATGCATTCACCCTGGCCCAGCCAAGTTCTGGATGGGGTGTGCCTGGGCCAGTGCATATGGAATTTGGGGATTTTCTGACTGCTGGCACAAATACCTGCAGGGCACTTTTCCAGTTACAAAACAAGTGGCAATAGTTTGGTGTCCATAGGAACTCAGCCCAGAACATCTGAGTTTTCAACTAGCTTTCTTGATGGATCTTGTTCAGCTGCAGGTGAAGAAGGGGGTGTGGAGAACCTCGGCACTGTCCATTCAAGGAGCACACTAACTTGCCATGACTGGGATGGGAAAGCAGAGTCACTTACAGTTCAAGCATCAACCCAAAGTAACGGTCCCTGAGACTACTCCTGGGCAGGGGTCAGCATGGTCCCTCCTACAGCCAGCTGGAGGCAAAGGCCTACAAGGTGGGATGTTACAAGAAAGAGCTGCAGGAGGAAGATTCACAGGGCTTCCTTCTCACCTTGTATCACCCTACTTTGTTTTCTTGGGCTGGTCACATGACCTTTCAGCCTAAATTCCTTCAATTATAAATTGAAGGGTCTACACTGAGTAATGTATTCCAGTTCTAAAGTTCTAGAATTCTTTATTCAGAATCTCTGCATGGACAGGGCGACTTTCAGGTCACTAAGAAATCTAATTTTTATCAAAATGATGCAGCACTAGTCATTATGGCTAAGAGAAGTAGGACAATGATGTGCTGGTATATTGCAGCCATGGTGTCTGCTCTAATCAAAGGTCTCTACATTACAGGCCAGTGGATCTTCATCTCTGCTGGATTCCACAATCTTTGTTTTTCTCTCTTTCATTGACAGTCATGATAATCAAATGGCTATTCTTGCCCCAAATTGGAACAAATATATATATATATATATGTTATATATATATATATATTTTTTTTTTTTTTGTACCAGGGATAGAACTCGGGTCCTTGTGCTTGCGAGGCAGGCAGTGAAACCACTGAGCTAAATCCCTGGGCCGGAACAAATATATATTTGTGCAGTTTCTTTTTAAACTAGTAAAGTATCCTGCTTTTAAAAATGTTTTCCTTTCCCTCAAACTTACAGGTACAAAGGATTTAAGGGCAACTGTTCCATGACCTTCATTGATCAGTTTAAAGTATTACACCAGTGCAACAAGTACTGTAAAATGCTGGGGCTGAAATCCCTTCAAAACAACAATCAGAAAGCAAAGAAGTCAAGCCCTGGGAACAGCAAAGTTCAGACAAACTCTGTAACAGTGAAGAACCCAGAGCTTGGGGCCCCAGCAGAAAAGAAAAGCTAGCATCTCTCGCAAACTAGTGGCCACCAGCTAGCAGAACACAGGCTGTGAGTGAAAATCTGCAGACGCCCAGAAGGTGGTAACACAGCCTGCGCGGAGTGTGTGGCATTCCTTACTCCCAGCCGCCTGAGCCCCAAGATGCTTCTGTCCTCATCACCTGCCAACTAATGAAATGACCTCGGAATGAGATTTGTGACCAGACTTGTGGAGACACTGCGTCAGATGTCAGTCTCAAAGACAGTCCCTTCTTTTTGCATTGTTACCAAACTCACGTCTTCTGTCTGTCTGTGTATTTTCACGTGGCTTTGTTGTCAAGGACTTGGTGCTGAGCAGGGTCTGTCCACAGCCCAAATCCTTCCAGTCTCACTCCTCAGCTCAGGGTTCTAGGCCTATCCAGCTTTGATGTGAACACAAATCGTCAATGTCGAGTTTTGCACGAGTGTTGAGTATGCTGCTATTGCTGAAAGAGGCTCCCGAAATGTAAGGCCACTTTCCACCATTGTTCACAGTCACTTACAATTTTCTGTTTCATTAAATTCATATTTAAACAAAAAGTGTAAGATTCACTTATCATCATACACAACAGTTCTTTGGAATTTGTGCCGTATTTCATATTCCTCCAGGATTTAGTAATTTCCTAATAGGTTTACTGGAGCACAAAATGTTTGCAACTATGTTTCCGCTCATTCCTACATTATAACTTGGGCTCCATCACTTTCTGCTTTGCTCCTAAATATGGTCTCCCTAAACCCAGGGCTGACCCTCAGTGGGTTACACCAGAGATGGGGTGCCCAGCTTGCAGGGACCCTGCCCTCCTCTACTCCACATGAGTTTCCTCAAAGGCCGAGCCTCCTTCCTTAGAGATAGATCCTTGTAGGAAATTCTGGAAAAAGCAAAACTGATGCAAGAGGACGTGTGTGCAGCCCCTCTCAGAGGGGGCTGGTGGCCTTCAACAGGAGACTCTTGGCTTCTTTAGCTTTAGAATATTGTTCTCCTCAAGCCTGGGGTTTGATTTTTAAAAGAAGGAGAACATAGATTGGATTTTTGTTTTGAAAAGGGATTTAAAGGAGAAAATGCTTGTTGGTCACATCTCAGAAAATTTGCCATTTCCAGGCTGTCTTCTGAAGTGATTCCCTGCCCTACAGATTATAAACTACTCATTTCTTTAAAATGTAGCCAATAGAGGGATTGCTTTGTCCAGAGAGAACCTACATATGTATTTATCAATGGAGTTCTAGGAAGTTCCACGATAGTGAAAAGGCACAGGGCACAGTTTGATTGGGTCTATCATCTATCTATCTTCTACCTACCTATCATCCATCTATCTATACCAACTATCACCTATCATCTAACATCTATCAATCTATCTATCTCTTTTAATCTATCAATCACCAGTCTGTATGTCAGTGTGGGTCAAACAAGAGCAGAATACTTTCTTTGGTAATAATTTGTACTTATAAAAATAATATCAACACAAGTGTTTAAAAAGTACAGAAAAGTATAAAATGAAAAGCCAAAGTCATCCTGGAACCCTCCTTCCCTCTAGCTGTCTTTGAATCTTGACCCGGAGAGACAGGTACAGGGAAACAATTTTGTGCTTCGTGGCCAATCCATGTTGTGCTTCTCTTAGATGGAGCTATCCCTGCCTCCTCTCATAGAGGCTTAGATTTTTTTTCAAGGTGCCCATGTTGTTTTTGTCATATGATCTCACTTGTTTACAGACATTTGGAGGTTCAGAGACAGAAGGGGCACCTGCACTGGGAATTGCTGTAGCCAGGGCTCTTAAGGATGGCCTTACTGCGGCTGTGTGTGGCCATCTGTCCAGCCACCCCTTCTTTTCTGAGACAAGGTGCTATTTTTCTTGCACAGTCAATTAACAAGATGGGCATGGAGCAGGCTTTCCTACACCAGCGTTGTGGGTGTGAGATCTCAGGACTGTCCATCCTCAATTTTAACACATCCAGTTTCTAATGGTTCTCCCACTGGTCTTCCCATTGGGAGGACTAACCATATAGTGAATGCTCAACCCAGCCACTGAGGTAGGATGGCTCAGTGGGTCTACCTGGGGGTTTTGTACCCTCCTGATGCCTGCAGGGTGGTCACATATGTATATGTCTCTGTTTCCCAAAAGGTGTGGCAGTGGAGCTCTGTGACGGGCAGATCACAAAAATAAATGAAAGCTTCATGAAAATGGGCCTATATTCACAACAGCAGATTTATCGCTAACGAGAATGGCAGGGAAATGATGACTTTTTGCCAGTGGGCATCATGTTCTGGAGAGGTCTAGTGCCGGATGTGGAAACAGCTAGCTTGTATTAATATTTCATGTTATCTTATTGTACCAGTGCCTCCCAGCCGTGCTTCTGACAAGCCTCATAATAGCAAAGGTTTCAGTAGAATTGTATTTAAAAGAATGCCAAAAAAGTAACAATTAGTTTCTAATTATAAAGTATTTTCTTTTCTAAATATACATCCTGTTTTGTGTGTGTTGGGCCTGCTTTCAATTGGATCTGGATGGGAGGAGCTTGCCAACTGCCTAGTTCCAGCTTGTTTTCTCTGTGTACATTCTGCTGTGCTGGACATGCACACCAAAGGGAACAGAGCAGCATTTATTCTCCATTTGAATCTGTGGATGCCACTTGGGCTTAACTATTTTTTTTCTTTTATTCAAAGAGGCACATAAAATTGCACCACTATACCACAATTGATTCTGTTGAAATCAGAGTTCTAAGATGCTTTTTTTATTCTTAGAATTTCCAATAATTATCCATCTGTTAGGATGGATATTATTTCAGATCTAGAGTATCCCCAATTCTCATGTGTTCAGAAATGAGCCTTTTAGAAGGTGATTGGATTATGGAAGTGCTATAGCTATAAATGCCTGGATTTCATTCATAATAGAGAAGTGTGTATCATAAATAATCTTACTATTCGTTGGGGGAAAACAGTACTATAAAAGATCACCTAAAATGTTTTAACTGTAAATTAACTGTATGGTTCTTTTTTACTACTTTTGACATTTAAGAAAGAAAGAAAATGGAAAAAAATCATACCATATGATGCATTTATGTAATAATTCCTTTTCAGGGTGTAGTTTTCAAAAGTCATTCCATGCTGACTATTTCCTTGGCCCTATGCTATAGAGCCCCTAGTGTTTAGGCAACTGAGATTTTCATAGTTTTGCTGCATGTCTCTCAAAAACTTGCTTTGAAGCATCAAGAAGCCCTCACTGCCTAAAAATGTTCCAGAAATTTCTGACAAGCCCATGTACATCATCCTCACACTGTTTTTAGATAAATGCAGCTTTGATCAGTAGACCTTCCAGCGTCCTGCTCCTCTTTCATCTCCTATCTTTCTGAAAGACATGAATTTTGAGCAGGGCATCAAAGGAGGTGATGCCAGCAGAGAGAAAAATGGAAGGTAGTCAATATGGGGGAACTGTCAAGAGCCAAGATTCAGCAGAAAGGAAGAGCATCTTTGAGTGACAACAAGAAAATTTACCTGGCAAAAGGAAGTGTTCCATGAGTAAGGTGAGAAGGGAGAGCAGGATGAGGGCATGCTTAAAGCAGGTCTTCCCTGACTGGGCCAGGAACTAGGCTTGTTTTCATGGGCTCTATGAGGTGCTAGAGGCTTAGCAACAGGCATGAGCTGAACTGCTAGTTTCTGCCCAGGTGGGAGACAGATGGAAGGACAGAGAGCAGAGCATCTTGCCACATGGAGCATGTCTAGAGCAGCAAGCAGGAGAGGACAGCTTCACACTACATCTAGAGGGGATCAAAAGCAAGTCATGAGGAGTCAGAGAGACCCAGTGCATGGACTGAATGATTATATCCACCCCTTTCCCTGTGTTCATATGTTGAGTTCCCACCCCCACAGCGATGATAGGGTAGGGCCTTTCAGAGGTGATTAGGTCTTGAGCCCTTATGAATGAAAATTGGTGCCCTTGTAAAAGACGTCCCAGCAAGACCCCTTTCTCTCCATCATGTAAGATTCCATTGAGAAGACACAGTTTATGCATCAGCAAGTTGACTCTCACCAGACACCACAACTGTTGGAGCCTTAATCTTGGACTACCAGCCACCAGACCTGTGGGAAATAAATTTTTGTTGTTTATAAGCCTCCTAGTCCATGGTGTTTTATTATAGCAGCCTAACTTTAGGGATGAAGATAACAAAAATGGAAGGGAGAAACAAGATTAAGACAGAAAGTGGCCCGGGGATTTAGCTCAGTGGCACTGAGACTGCCTGGCAAGCACAAGGTCCTGAGTTCGATCCCTGGTACCCGCCCCCCCTCCCCCCCAAAAAAGACAGCAACAAGGCTGATTCCTTCTAGCACCTGGAAACTTCCTTCTTGAAGTAGATTTCCCAGGGCTTTGTAGGGCAGTGTTATGGTTTATATCTAGATATTCACACCCCCCCCACCCCCACCCCCCCCAGCCTCATGCAATTATAGCCAGGGCTTTGGGAAGGTGAGTGGATTATAGGGACTATAGCTGGCTTGCTGTTAGGAGGCGGGGTCTGGTTGAAGAGGCGGGTCACTGGAGGTGTGGCCTGGAGGGGGTTATCTCCCTCCCTGGCTCCTCTCTTCTCTCTCTGCCTCCTGTCCAATCATGTGAGCCACTTACTCCTCCAGATACTTCCACCATGCTGATTATGCCTGGAGCAGGCTGACTGTGCAAGGACTGAAACTTCTGAAATGTGAGTCAAAATAAACCTCTCCCTTTTTAAAAGCAGGTGTTGGGTATTTTGTCCTAGCAAGGAAGGAAGTGACTAAGACTGGCAGTGACTGGCTGAGCGGGAGTGGAGAGCAGTTTGTGATGGGAAAGTCCCAGCAGTCCGTCAGGATGATAGATTTCAAGAGGGGGAGCCACTGTTTGCAGGTAGCCCTGGACATTTGTGAGGATCAGCAGACCACAGAAAATTGGACCCTCAGCAACTGGTTCACTTGGTGTCCCTGTGGCTTCCCAGGAAGTGGTCTTGTTTCGTCATGGTTTATGTCTGTATTTACACATCTTGCTAATTGTGCCTCATGATATGGTCTTGAAGATCAGTAGTCTATTGCTTCCAGGTCTGTGCTACAGGAAACCAATAAATTAAACTCCTTGCTGCTCCAGACTGCAGGTTTGAATTAGATGTGATCTTGTGCCCATAAATCATGCCCCCCTTCCTCCCAGGGACCAAGAGTGAACCAAGATGAATCTACTTAGCCCTGCCTTCCCACTCTCTGCCCTCAGTGCCCCACTTCCTGGAATCCAATTCCTTATGTGCTCATTTCATGTGGCTGAGGAGTTCTAAAAATCCCATCAAGAAAAAAAAAAGTTTGTGTTTGTTTTAGCCATCAGTCTTATTTTAATTTCCTGGAGGAAGTAGGTGGCCTTGCTCCTTAGAAAGCTTCTCCTACTTGGCTTGAATTTTGAGGGTCCATTTGCCTTCATATCTAGGGCTTTGGGGCATTATCTTTGATTTCTAGGCCAGTATTTTCTAGGGAATAAATTTTAAAAGAAAAGTATGACATTTTTCTCTGAATTACTCAAACAATCCCCTCAATTTTTACCTTTTATTTTATTTGGTCTCTTTTATTTAGTATCTTTTCTATAAACATCTTGTTTATAGATGGCTCTCTCCTTCTCTTCTAAAGAACATTGCTATTTCTAGATAAGACTCAAATTCCTCAAGGACCCTTTCCCATTCAACCCACTTTCATTCAACCTAGCCTTCCTCAGTCTTGACCGGGCACTAGAATATCAGGGGGCTTCAGAAGACCCTGGTGTGGGGACCCACTGAAGGCATGCTGAGTGACGTGGTCAGGTGTGACCCTGACATGGAGATTTTGGACTGTCTCTTCATTAGTTTGGGTGAAAGGATCTGCTGCTGTAACATACCCAGGAGACAACCCACATGGAGCGCTTGCTATGTTTAAGTTGCATGTAGTTATGGATGAAATGTTCAGAAGTACTTTCCCCATCTCCATCCATCTTTTGGAGATACGATGGCATAAGTGACAAGTACAGCACACACAAGACACCAGTCTGAGCATGTGGCCAAGTTGTCAAAGAAGCATTCTATGCCAACCTCCAGAGAAATATGAAAGCGAAAGAAGGGATACCCGAGAGACTCCCCAGGACAGCTTTGCTGAACTCTGTTTTCCTGGGGTTCCTCTGTCCCTAGCCTATAGCAGGCCACCTCCTGCTTAGGCTTCAGTGCCTCCTGCAGGTTTACTCTCTTGGCATTGGGAATGAGACAGAGAGAACCATGTGTTGGGTCAGTTCATTGTTTAGTGGACTTTCTGGAATGCTTCTGAGATGTTTTATCAAATGACTTTAATCAGTTCTATTTTTATCCTTTTATCTTTATTGAATAACATCAATTGAAATGCCACCATTCATGCTCATACAACTAAAATACAAACCTCAGGGTTTGTATGTGGGAACACGTATATATTTATAACATCTTCAGATACACACACAATGAACAGTCCTCAAGGCATGGCATATGAGTGGGTGATCCAAAGGTCACTTCCTGGCTATGTATGGAGCTGGCTGTTCTCCTGGACTCTCAGGCACTTCCCATTCTTAGTCTGTGCTGGGGTCTAGGTGTGGTGGTCAGCCATCTGTCCAGGGCCTGAGCTTTGCCTCTCTTACCCCAACAGCAGCTCTGGAGGTTCACCCTGGACACTGAAAAAGGGGGTTATTGTCACAGACCACTGAATGGGGAAGGATAAGGCCACACGAGAGAGGCTCAGCAAGTCCTAGGGAGGGACATTTGGCTGTCCTCTTCTAGACATTCCATGGAACTGAGCAGGGAGTGTTTATGGAAATGTCACCCCACAGCAACCAGGTAAATGACTAATGTAACTCCTAAGACTGTAACGAACTCTCCAGAGACTGCCACAGCCTCCACTGGCCTCCAACATCCCTACACCAGTAGTTCTAATGTATGACATTTTCCTTGGTGCTCCATGCTGTGCCCAGCCTAGGCCACCCTCCTTTTCTGGGTGGGAAGAGAAAACTGATCAGCCACACCCCTTGATTCTGAAAAAGCTGTCACTCTACTGAATTCTGGGAAATTGCTGCCTATTTTTGAGTCTAAATTGTTTTGTAGCACATATCTTCCAAAATCATTCATCTTTGAATGTTCAAAAGAATTTCTTTTTTTTTGATAAACTGTGATGGTTGATTTTTTGTGTTAACCTGGCTGGGCTATAGGATGCCCACGTGTCTAAACATTTTCAGGGGGTGTGTCTGTGAGGTGTTTCTGGAGGGGACAAGCATTTGAGTGGATAAACCTTGCAAAGCAGATGGCCCTCACGGATGTGAGTGGGTCTCATACAATCTTGTGAGGGCCTGAGTAGAACCAGGAGGTGGAGGGAAGTTGAATACACTCTGCCTGACTGCTGGAGCTGGGACATTGATCTTCTACCTTTAGTGCTCCAGTTGCTCAGGTCTGAAGTCTCAAGCTTGAATCTATACCCTCTGCTTTCTAGCTCTAAGGCCTTAGAATTACACCACTTACTTTCTTGGGTCTCCATCTTGCAGTCAGCAGACCATGGGACTCAGCCTCCATAATTATGTGAGCCAGTGCCTTATAATTTGTCTATCTATCTATCTATCTATCTATCTATCTATCTATCTATGTATCTCCCTCCCTCCATCTCCTTCCTAGTGGTTCTGTTTCTCTCAAGAACTCTAATGTAGAAATGAACACACAGCTGCTTACCCGGTATTCATTCTCTCTACCCAATATCTATTTACTCCTTCCCCTTTAATAAAATCCACAAACAATAGCAAAGTGCTTAGTTAAAATACTGCATCTCCCAGGCTCCCTTGCTGTGGAGAGTAGTCATGTGTGACAGTTCTGGCCAATGAGATCTAAGCAAAAATCTCTGGGTGGGGCTTCCAGGAGCATTCTTTAAAAAGGATTGAGCCAGACAGGAGCTGGCTCTTTTGCTTAACCTTTTTTTTTTGTTAGTGTTTAAGTTTTCCTTTTGGAAGATATCTCTAGTCATCATATTGTGACCATGATGACTAGGTAGAGCAGACATCTAGTAGAAGCCCAAATTGCTAAGGATATTTAGGGGCTCCTGCCTAGTTCTAGGCTCCCTGCCTCCTGAGTTTTTATTACAGGAGAAAAAAAAAGAATCTCCATTTTGTCTAAATCATGTGTCATTTGATGCATATGTTTATGTAAGTAGTTTCTGCTTAAAAATAAAATTCCCCAGACTGTTCAAAACAGAGTGTCTTGCTAACACTTCCCTTTGTTGCAGGGTGCTCAGTCCTGACTGTTCCTCAATGTCACCAGTTGTGCCTTCACCTGTCCATGCCTGGGCCCTCAGGGAGTCTCAAGTGGCTGGTCTGGGGCACAGCCTGACATTGGGGTTTCTAGTTGCTCTCAGTGGTGCAGCCAGCACTGGGGAGTCTTCAGGTTTTCTCCTGCAAGGCAAAGTAATTGGTCAATTGATTCCTTCATCCACTCCCCACTCCCGTTAAACACTAATCATACACACAATAGACCAGGCTTGCAGCCCAGCAGCTCGAAACCCAAGTCTGCATCTGAACCCAAGGGCTATTAGAACACAAGTTCCTACCAAAACCACCTGCCCCAAGTTTCTGATGTCAGGATCTGGGGTGCATCAGGTCTACATTTCTAACAAGATCCCTGGTGCTGCTGGCGGAGCCCACAGCTGCTGCTCATGAGGTGAGCTATCTTTTGTCACCAACCCTGTCCTCTGTGGCTTTTTCCTGCTCTCCCTGCCCTCTCATGGCTCCAAGGACTCTTTGGTTTGCCTATTTCCTCACTTCTGAAAGCAGAACACAAAGTATGTTTCTTTTTAAGGGGACTTCAGGAAGTGGTGTTATTGGGTGGGGTAGGGACCAGCAGTGTTTTCAGGTTCTTGTTTGTCCTGATCAATGAAGTGGTCGGGACAATTAGTGGATGTGAAAGATTACCATTTATTTTAGGGAAAAAATAAGAAAAGAAAAGGCAGAAAAAGTGCAAAAGAAGTGCTCAGGAAGAAAAGGATGCTTTGAAGGAAAAAGAAAAGATACATCCTGCAAGCAGAAGGGACCACTGCAAGAACAGGAGGGCTGTGGCCCCCAAGTCAATTGCTGCCATCCTTTATGTCTCCTTTGAAAGTTGATCCAGGTGGTCTCACCTGATCTCATACTAGAAGACTGACATAGCTGCCAAGTTTAGTGTGTTTGCCCATCAGAAGATTGGCACCAGGTGCAGGGCTCCGCTTGATCCCATGTCAGGCTCTGGTGCTGCTGTTCTGCACCCATGGTTAATAAATCTGCTCAGTTGGTAGATTGTCCCCAACTGCTCCAACCACGTTGCCTTGCCCTAGCCTCCTACTACAGTACCACCCTTGGTGCTCATGCCCACACTTTTCCCTCCACTTTCATCTAAATAGTACCCCCTTGTTTCCACGTCTCCACTTTGCTGTCACCTCTTCCAGGTAGACTTCCTTTAAAACTCCCAGTCTGTGTCCTCAAAGCTCCTGGCATGCCCACCTCCTTACACTTGGGTGCAATTACCCAGTTGTATTATTAGTCTCCTAAAGATCTGAATATTCCCAGACTCCAGTACATTGTGGGCACCCAGCACATGGTGGGCACTCTGTAGGAATTTTCCTGCAGAAAGGAAAGGGCAGCTACAGGCAGGTTGGGCCTCTGCTCTATTGTAGGATGAACCTGAACTGG